GCCAGATTTTCATTTGATATAATAGTTAACGTTAATCAATCAATATAAATATATATGTAGGCATTGAACTTGTCAGAAGGTGTGTTGGATTTCGAATGTATCGGACAATGTCTTAAAATAATAGAAAATGCAACCCTCTTCTGTGCTGAAAACCAATTTGACATTGTCGAAAAGGACAAAGATCTTTTACGGATGCTATTGGAGTTCCTTTTATACTGTCAAATAGTGGCTTGTAGTAAAAATATACAACGTGCTTCAATAGGTTTGTGAAACCATCAATTGCATGATTAGTGTTCGATACCTTGGGTTTTGTATAAAATTGTTGCATTTAATCATTATAGCGATGGAATGTCTTCTTGGCAGTCTGCGTGTACTTATTAACCTCTCTAATGATAATCAGTCGTGCTGTCAATGCATTGGGTATATTCCTGGAATGTCAATTCTTGTTAGACTTGCCACTGTTGGACAGCTCCCCCATAATGAGTCTGCGACGATTAATACTGGCTTAGATAAGATGGATTTAGATTGTCCGACGAATTCAACGGCTGTTGAAGCAGTCAAATTCGATGTGTTATTGCTTAGTATTGGTTTGCTTATTAATTTGGTTGAAATGGATCCTGGAAACCAAGATGAGTTTCGAAAAGTTGGTGAGATATTACTGTTACGCTAAATATAACTTAAGCATAAGTGTACCAATATAATATATTTACGTTATTTTAATTATGATGACTTCAAGAACAAAATCCATATTGTACAGGTTCTCATACTTGTCTTCGAACTTGTACATGTTCTTCACGTGAATCTGCAGTATCATGTTTCGTATCTTTATATAATTACCAACTTGAGAAAGAAGACGATGAGGTACTGACTATAATGGATATCACAATTCGTTATTTTTCGAGAATTCGATAAGACATATTAACTTTAATCTTTTTAGACTGATAGCAATATTATCGCTGCATATCTAGCCGTTTTACTTGGTTTATTGATAAAGAATAATCATGCCAATCGATTATTGATAATTGATATCCTTTTCTTATTTTATTTTACCTTTGTTACTTTCAATGTAATAATTATGATGTAATTTCCTTAATTTTTTCTTTATATACAGCGATTGCCGGATCGATCGGTCAATTCTCTTATAAACCTTCTTCAACAGTTCGTCCATTTTAATGAACTAGTTGGTGAAGAGGCATCAGCGAGTGGCCACACAAGTGGACAAATGTTAATGAGTTCATCATCATTAGATCAAGTTCAATCTGACAATATGGCACCTCATCCTCAAGGAAAAACTATAGTTGATTCATTTTTGGATATTGTTGATATGTTAAAATCTTTAGAAACTTAGTGAGCTATAATTACGGTAATGTTTGTACAAGGATTATAGACTAATTTTTTTTCAATACTTCCTGGCTATATAATCCTTTAACAATTAGTAAGCTTATAGACCTGTTTTTCTTTCGTATTCTTAAAGGTAGAATCTAGTGAACAAAAAAAAAAAACGCAATTAATCTACTTATCTCCTGAATTGGTCATTTATTAGTAAGATTTATTTATACCTGCGTTAGCAGATAAATTTTGGTTATATTTCAGTAATTGAAATAAAATTAATCAATTATTTACATTTTAGTATTAAGATATAATGCTGATTTAAACATAAAAGGTAATAATATTATAAGCTATATTTTAATTTTCAAATAAATAGTATTAGATTTTATTATTAAGGATAAAGATTATTTTTTGGATTTTTAAATTATATATATAGTTATTATGTATATTAGTTTAAAAAATATATTGCTATATACGTATTTGCATATTAAATATATTTATAAAAATATATTATAGTTAAAAAAAATCTGGT